TTATGAGGTGGACTAGTGGTAGAACCCGAGACGATCTCGTGCTTGGGTTGGATTCATTAGGAAGGCTGCAGGATCTAAACCAAGAGGGCTTCTCCTAGTGGAATGACGAGTATCTTTGAGGGAGGATGGAAAGAGTACATGTTAAGGTTGGATCTTGCAAGGAATAAGAAATATTTTAGGTCATTCATTAGCTGCTACATTTTTCATATCCTGACAAAAATCAGAAGGAAATTAGAGGTGGTTGCAATGGGTTATGTGAAATATTTTAACTACTTATTCATACAAGTTTGGACTGTATCAATGAAATATGGTTTAAAAGATTTATAGAAAAAACAAAGCACATATCATTGATCAAGGTCTGAGTGAGGCTTGAAAACCTGTAACCAAGCTTGCTCTGGAATCAACAAAAGCTAAGTTTTGATTTCTTCACATGGATGTAAGTACCCCCTGCCGAACCACATAATCTTTGTCGTCTTTGGTCAAATACCTCATTTTATTTCTCATTTGTAGATTAAGTTTACATTCAGTCCTGTGAATATTCTTGCTTGTAAGATATCTTGTTTCAAACAGAAGAAAGAGATTAATTCATATTTATTTGTTTTTAGAGGCTAGATAATTTGATCGTGTTGTAAATCAGTTGTTGAACTAATTTTGCAGTATCGTGTTACTTATTCAACAAACTACGCAAAATGAAATATCGGATACAGAAATAAGCGAGTTCGAGCATTTCATCAAGCATACTGATAGCCTGGACCCCTACTAAAGAGAGAGATTCAAGATTTCATGAGGAATATTCCAGACCTCCCTCTCTTCCTCCGGAAAATAACAAGGGACCTGAAACATTCCAGTTCATTATTTACCAGAAAATGAGTAAAGAGTTCAACGGGAAATCTCCACAGTTAGCGTTCCAACAATGACAAATTCAAAGATCAAACTGGTTAACTTCTTTATCATCGCCTGAAGGCCTCACCCAAATATTCAATCAATGGGTCAACAACATTTACCTAAACCCTAGAAATGAAACAGAATAACAGAGAAAATAGAAACAGCCGGGTGAAGCACACGCAAAGTAGAAAACAAAAAACCTTCAATATGGGGCTCTCCATGAGAAAATTCTCCTTTAATCAACTCCCTATCCAACACAATAAACGTATGTTCTGCATCAAAATCAACAATCCTTATCATTAGAAAGAGGGAGATGAAAATAGGAAAGGGGAGAAGGTGAAGAGGAGAGAAGGACAATACTATTGGGGTCCTTGGTCCAGGAAAGATGCATATCGTACTCCTGATCTAGGGTGAGTGGCTCTGATCCAGTGGCGAGGAGCAGTGCCGGGTCCTTCATCCACTCGTGATACTTCGGAACATGCTCCCACATGTATGGTACCAGGATCGCCTTCTTCCCTTCCAGGCATACCACACCTTCTTCAGCCTCGCTTTCCCCCAGCCAGTGACCCATGGTGATCGAGACTGACAGCGAGCAGAAGTCGATTCCCCGCTTGGTGATGATTTACCTGGAATTGTAAAATAAGAAGAGTCCACGCATATTTCTTCTTCCTAAATAATCTCCGCTTTCTCCAACATTCTGACCACAATTTTAAAGTGGCATCAATAAATTTTTTTTTTATTTAAGTGATTTACATAAACAAATTTATGGGTTTAATCACATTTTAAATAAAAAATATTTTTTAAAAATAAAACGCACCTCATAGAAGTGATTTACATAAACAAATTTATTTTTTATTTAAGATAATAATTTTAACTATTTTGTAATAAATAGTTTTTTTTTAATTTCATAATTAGATTTATAAAATTATATAAATTTGTTTTTATTTACATAAACATAGGGTGTAAGTTAACATTGGAGGAAATGACAAAAATATATGTATATTTAAAATATAATTAGTGAGAGTAGATAATTAAAAGGATTTTT